TTGTACTGGGCACCCTAGTACGAAAAGTTTTGCTTTGAAACAGATTTACATTTGTTTAGTTCCAATTACGCCTAATAATTATCATGTGAGTGGAAATCATATGTAATCAAATTTTATTATGACTCAGTCAGTTTAACTTTTCAGAAACGGAAATTAGTTCGGCACTTGTGCAGATGCGTAAAGTTCAGCGACTTAGGCTCTCAAAATTTGTAATATTGCTCAGAGAACTAGATTGGAAATCTGAAGCTGCACAGAGCAACCGCTTGGAAAATTTTGCAACGCTTAAAAGTCATTGATTTTCCTCATGTTCCAGAAAAAAACGTTGTGTGTAAAGAATGTCTTTCAAAGAACGTGGGTCGCAAAAAACTGGACACAATCTGGTTGCATGCGCTCGCAGTATAAACTTAAGTATGAAATACATCAAACCATATTGTATATCATCCTTTGATTTCATTCACATTTTGCAATGTCTTTGTACATAAATATCTAGTTGGAAGTAAGGAAACCGGGATGTGAGAAATAATGAAAAAATGTAATCGAGATGAGCCATAACCAACCTGTTTCACGAAATTGGGCGAAATGAAAATAATGAAATGAGTGATTTGATTTGATGTGATCTGATGAGCTCAAATTTACTGAGGGGAAGAACTCCAAGGGGAGAGATCGTCGTAAAATATTTCGTAGCTGCGTTTCGTAGTAGTTGTAAAGAAAAGTGCCCTTATTCGCTCCCTCGCTGTTCTGTTCTGCTCCTTCCTACCCAACATCCCAACGTTGAACCGGCTTCATTCCTGGTTTCAGCCTCCACAACGAACATAAAATAAATGCTGAGATGCATTGCCTATGTTACGCAAGGGACTAGAGTCAAGCTGAGCCCAGTAGAAAAAATCATGGGGGAAATATTTCTAAAAACAAAGTCACAAGAGTGACTCTCGCCTCATTTCTTCAGCAAATGCAACTTGCTTCCTCTCTTATCCAGCAAAATTGAATATTTGCTTCTTCAGCGGAGTAATATTTGCTTCCAAGTGTGTTCAACATTATGTGAAAAATGCAAAATTAATGCATATTCTGAATTATTTACGTAACGTTCAACCGCTTTGATGTTATTTATGATTCATATCCTCAACTCGGTTCCCTTATTGGTATCATGACCTACAACACATATCATGCCATTAAGCAGTCCGGACTTTTCTGTATGCTATTGTAAATACACAAAAGAATGTAGCAGACGAAATGCAGTTGTTCACACACATTTTTTTAATTTCCAACATCCCAAAGTTTTATAGCATTGTGAACCAAGGAAAAAATTGCTCTTATCCGCCCTTCCCTCTCCAGCAGCAGCAGCAGCAGCCCAAGCTTGTTGATTAATAAGAAGGAAGAGGAGGCCAAGGCAGGGAACAAACTGGTTTGGTTCCCAAGATTCTAGTTTTAGATCCTTCCTCAAAAACAAAGTTTGAAATAGTGGAGGGAGGGAGTGGATATATGAGCACAGCTTTGCAACTCAACCCTACATCGGACTTCAAAATGAACCATTTCGAGAGGGAGTAAGGTAGGTCGGAGTCGAAATTGAATATTCGATATTATTCAGCAGGGAACTTCTCTGCTACGTAGTGCTTCCAAACTTTAACTTTGGAAAGTGGATGGGACTTGTAAACGCTTACAAGCACTTTATATTTCTTCACATAAGAATTCTACCCACAGTTCAGACAAAGGAGTTCGGAGTGGGGTTGCTGCATTCTTACATATGGGTACAAGTAAGTGCGAGTAAAAGCTTATTATTGCATTAGACTTATGTAATTTCCACTACGTTATAGCTATAAATTATAGCTACGATATAGTGGAAATTGCAATTATAGCCTATAATTGTATATGAAGGCACATCAGTGGCAACATTATATAGCGGGATTACATAAAATCCCACCTCCTCATTATTAGTCTGATTGAAATTGAATCGATATGCTTGAAACGAACTTATAATCATATTCCATCCTAGCTAAATGAGCCCCCATGAAGGACTTCATTTAAGTCTCTTACATAATAGCAAATGCCAAATTATTTTTATCATATTTATCATAGTTGCTGAAAAATGTACGACTGATAACTTTCACTATTCATTTTTTTAAATTGTATTCTCCTTTATTTCTAAAATTTCATCAAAATTGGGCATAAATCCTGTTCAACTTTTCTGAGACATTTGAATTTGCACGCGCTTGTAAGCTGTAGACATATGCTTATACATGTGCCCTTTTCTCTAAAGTTTGCACAATCGGATTCCAAAGTCAGCCTTTGGCGTATAAATGCTTAAGCTTGGAGGCAAAATGATGTTGGGCATAAGCCGGATTGTGGATTAGGAGAGCTTGATACATAGCATGACACAGGTCTTTGGCCGCAGATCGAGTTTGGTAAAATTGAAGGCATGTTGTATCTGATATGTGGAATAAGAGCGGAGGATAGAGGATAGCAGGTGCAAGTGTCAAAAAATTATATCACTACCAATCCATCACAGCCACGCGCACGCAATATTCCCGTGCACATAAATTGATCGCTTTATTCTTCTCTGCCATACATACACGAGACTGATGTGGATAAACATAAATTGTAACCTCCAACCCTGCAACAATGCGATGGCGCTCACAATTTGCTCTGATCTGGTTAGCAGTGGGGCTTAATGTGCACCAATTATGTAATTTTTAGGCCTTTTAAGATGGCCTTATAGATTTACCCAGATGTCTGTCTGTCCGTCCGTCTGTGCGTCCGTCTGTGCGCACGATAATTCTCTTTAAACCAAAGCTATCGAGTTGAAATTTTACATGCTTTATCTTCGGATAAAAAGTAAGGATGAGTTCGGAGATGGGCATGATCGGTCAAGTGGTTGGCCGGTGGGGGTCATTTCCACCCAAATGTGTTGCCATTAACTACCAAGACGGCATTAATGCCATCTTAAAAGGCCCCGCAAAGTTGCTTGGAGTAGGTTTTATATTAGTGCACGCGATTTAAACAGGACATTAAATCGTGAACAATAATAACAAGATGAATTTATTGAAGTAAAGTCAGCAACACAACCAGGATAACATATTTATGCAATAGGTACATGATCCATCCTAGAGTAAAATTAGGGAAACCAGGTATTGACTGTTTTACATATTCGTTCAGGAAGATTTACGATTAAAGGCATTACTCACTCCTATGATTGAGCATTATTACAAATTTAATGTAAACTCTCAAACTCCACACACTCTTCTCGTCTCAACTTTCATCCACGAACACCAAGTTGCACAAGCCCGAAATACATACATCCACCTCCACCACAACAAAGTCTCCTTTCTTTCCACTCGCATCATCGTCATCATCCACGGCAAAAGGAGTGTGTGTGTGTAAAGGCAAAAGTCAGATCTCTGTGTGAGAGTCTACAATCTCAAAACCGGTGGAAGGAAAGCTGCAGCAGCACACAATGCAAGCCATTTGAACCCACTTTTGGGTTGTCCACTGATGTGAACAGATTTTGAATACCACGTTACCACATCTTTATTACGTAATGCATACACCAGATAGCAAGTAATTCGAAGGAGTAATAACTATTTAGCAGAATTTTTTCCTTAATCATGATCAACAATTCCAGCAAACTATCTGAGGTCACACTTCATATAAGCTTGGACAGTACGTGCCTAAACTTCTGCCCCAATAAACCCATACAAATGCGAATAGCAGGAAAAGCGAAATTGCAAGCTGTGTAACATGGTGCATGGAGGTCTCGCAATTTACTCGACTTGGGGTGTGCAGAATGAATACACTGGGAGCCCGTATCTATCTATGGGCACCCTAGTTCGGGCTTAGTTTACCCCACCCAAGCAAGCTGCATATACTGGAAACGAGTGGAGTCGAAGCTGGTCGTCGTGCAAGATTCCCAGCCCCATTGCAGGTCGAATACCCATTGGCAGTCACTCGGCACTCAAGAGGTAGCCCTGGCAGTGGCCAAGATACATGGGGAGGATGCCGAGTTGCAATAACGATGGTGATTTTCATTCACAAGTGGGACGTCATACAAAACCCCCGGTCGTCCCCGATCCCCACCTCATACTCCGTTTACGTTCAGCGGAACATTCCAATTCATGAATGAAAAAGGGGTTGCTCTCTGAAGGTCATTGATGTCGAAACGCTGGGGCCGAAAGGCCTTCAAAATTCGAAACTTTTTCGGGGATTGACCCACCCCACCGTGTTCTTGGAGTGAGGGGGTGTGCCCTCATACCTTTTTTCATGGGGCTAATGGGGCAACTTATCAATGGGAAACTTCGCTACTTCCCGACGAAAAGTGGCCTCTTCCACACTCGTTTACTATACTTATACGCAACCGTAGTTTTCCACTGCCAGAACCACTCTGGTAGTATCTGCCGTGTAGCCCGGCAAGTGTTCTCAGTTTCTCTCAGACCGTACGAGAGCAAAGGTGCAGACACTCTGGCTTCTGATCTCGGGATTCTTCCTCTTGGCAAATTCTGAGGTGACCTTTCAATTAATGTTTGGGGAAATTTGAGACTTGGCTAAAAACCTGCAGTGCATAAGAAACCACGAGAAATTACATTAGCCAAATTTCAAATCAGACAATTAGTGAAAATTAAGCAATAAATTGTATTTGAATTTTTGAATAAAAAGGAAAAGTAATTTTCTAGAGAGAAAGCGTCTTTCGTTCCTATTAATGACATTTTGTGAACAATAAAAGCAACCACGACTGGAGAAAGTTAATTGTTCATGATTTATGAATTGAGAGTGAAATTTTGTACGTTTCCGACTTCGAGCTGAAAAAAACCTTGTGCGAGGAAAGTGTAAGATTTTTGAGAGATTGGAGTGTAGCCGTTTGGAGAAAGTGAGTCGTGAGAAGAACGCAGCAGGAGGAGGAGAGGAGGAAAAAGTAAGGCTGAGCACGCAGCGCAGGCAGAGAGAATAGAAATCGCACTCCAGAGCACTTTTTGGTCTGCTTGTTGGGCAGGTTTGATCCACATCAGCTCACAATTCCAGCCAAGACACAGTTTCACTGTAACCTCTGCTGTGAAAACACACAAATTTCTCCGCTCCCACACCCTCCACTCTTTTTGGTGGACTTGAAGTTTTACCCATCTCCACACACATAACGTATTATAGATAGTTACATAACATAGTCTCCTATGGTCAGAGTCACACCCACATTCATTACTTAAATTTACTTAAATTAAAGTTTACTCCAGTTTCAAAATTACACTAAAGTACTTTTTCAAGTGACAAACTTTCCCTGTTTCATTTCACCACCGTTGACATGAGTTTTCCTCAGTTTTGAACAAAAGTGACTTACCTGGGAAAATTGAGAATTTTTGAAAAACTTGGTTATATTGAAGTATTCTAAAAACTTGATGTATTAAAACATTCCAGGAATATTCCTGGGTTTTAGCAAAGTTCAGCTTGCATCCTGTTTAGGGAAACAGTTGATATTTTGTGAAAATTTTACCTGAATTATTGTACCTTAAGCTAAGCTTGGGAAATTAAGTGCTCTACTTATCTACTGATCCAATACCTGGAGAAAATACTGGCTACATACACACTGCACAATTGACAGTGGCTGTAACCTACACAAACTCATCAGTTTTATAAAAGGTCTAGAAAGTAATTAAAATATTTTTCTTAAATAGGTAGTTGTACTGTGATTCTAGAGGTTTCACGTAATGTAGCAATAGCAAAAAGTTTTACCGAATTTTTCTCCAATTGACATGATCTTTTATATTTTTTAATTTGTTATTTTGCATGTTTTGAAAGGTGAAAGCTAAACTACTCTGATTAGTTAGATCAGAAAAACATAAAAACCAAAAATTCTTATTATTTTCTCCGTAATTCATTTTTTCTCAGTTTACCCTTTGATCTGGAATTGCAAGCTTGTTAACACGATTATAGACAAATTGTATGAATATAGTGCAATATATAATGTAGTAGATTCCATCCCAAGACGCTGGCTGAGCAAATTGAATTTGGGAAATTACATTTTGTGTATCTTGTTGAAAACAGGAAATTATTTTTTTATAATTAAACCTCTGAGCAACGTTAATTTATTTACTCAAGTCTGCTGTAGTACAGTACTAATTACCTACATAAAACTGCATTAAAAAATTGGTTCAGAAAGTAGAACTGTAAAGACAAACATTTTTATGTCAAACTAAAGAAAACATAAATTTAATCTGTATGCCTTTGATTTTTATATGTAGTGAATGAGAAATCGGAAATTATATTTAATACAGACTGCGAATCTTATTTTAATCTAAATCTCCAGTAAAACTAATCAAACTCTTATATGAACGTATATAGTTCAAATTCCTATGAACGTTGGGTTGTTTAAAACGAAATCTGGGTATCATTTGTATCTTTGTATAAATTGAGAATTTTAGAAACGAAATTCGTGTTATTTTAAATTAAATTAATTATTGGATTTAAATGAAAACAGCAAGGAAATGCGAAATTTTAAAGTTTATCTCAATACCCCAAGATCATAATGGAGACTAATTTCACCCGACAAAGTCAGCTATAACCGCAAGCTACCACTTCCAGCAAATTGTTTTAGGACAATAAACAATCTAAATTAAAGTGATTTAACAGATTTATACATATTTACCAACTTTAAAGTTTGTAGCCACAGCTAGTCTGCAAACCCGCACACTGTTCTTGCCTTAATTATCACCAAATTTAAGTGGAAACATTACATTACAACTCTCAGTCTGGTAAACAGCAAAATCTACAATTGAGTTAAGCTCGATCTGGTTGGTCCAGGCAGAATTTGAACTCAGACCGCATTGAATTTACAATTATTTCACTCAATCAATTTCAATTTGTTCACAGGATCTAAATACAACCCAGCGTATAGTTTATGTGCTTTCTGCGGCTTCGAATTACAAATCTATTCTATTAAGAGGCAGCCTGTGTACATTAGTTTTAGGATCAGCAAAATCCATTGTTTCAAACTTTTTGGTACAAACCAGTGACATTTTAAATAGTTTTTTTAACTTCAATAATATCATCATATTTTTTCAATTGAAAATTTTAGTAAAAATTTGTCTAAAAACATAATAGATAAGCGCAAAAGTATAATGTTTTGTTCTCATCATGAACGTACGTATATAGTGTTGAGAAAAAAGGGATATTGCACTTTAGACTTTAAATTAGACATGAGAAAGTCAAAAGTGAATTGAGTCAAGTGAAAAAAATAAATTATTCCCAAGAGAAAGTCTCAGCTGTAAGCTCATAGAGTTTGAGCATAGTGAAAGTTTTGATGTGCCCATTCAGAAAGAAAGTGAATTTCTGGTGATGATATTATTTGACGGAGAAGTTGGTTGTCTATCTTCGCCCCAATTCCCCAATCATATTTTCTACGTTGAGGAGACAAATCTCCAAGCTTTCGACTCATCGGCTGGCTCCTCTTTCTTGCAATATAACGCAAAAAGCAGAGCAACAATCAGCCATTTTATTTGATCAATAAGTTTTCGTAATAATTTTGTACATAGTTTTTTCCAAGTCCAAACTTAATTTATGTCCTCGTGTACAGACTGCAGGACGATTTCAACTCGGAACAGGCCGTACGCTTGTAATTATAAGCGATTGAGTTGAGCAGTACCTAAAATGTAATTTCTCCAATTTCTGAGAGAGAGAAAAAGTTGAGCGTACAAAACAATCCATCAGTATGAATAGAAATGAACTTTAAATTACATTCTGTCAATATTATTTCTTGTTTGAGGATGTGGATTGAATCGAAAATTGCATTTAAAATTACAATTTTTCTCCAACTAACTATATCGTGTTTTATTTTCTACAGCTGCAACTTGGGGCGAACTGATCATCCAATCACCATTCGACATTATTACGTTACTTGCACCTTTTTCTTGCAAGCAATTGCATGTCAAACTTGACTCGCTCGCCATCGATTGGAATAGGATTGAGTGGATTGTTTAATTAAAAAGAAGGAAAATTACATTTCGTACTTGGGTCTTGGAAGTCAGGCTCGATCCACTACTGCTGGCTGGCTGGAGTACTTTTGGGGAATCGAAATAAATGATTTCTCGATAATACATAAATTTTTGAAGACTCAATTTGGACAACAAACGAGTCAAGCACAGCTGAGCGGAACTGGTAAGAAAAGGAGCTGGACGAGAAGAAAGAGGTATTTCAATCTAGGAATCTCCTTTAAGAAGACCAATTTCATACGTACATACCCGCAACCAAATATCACACCAGTTGAGCTGCACACCAGTCGACAAATACCCATTCCACTCAATTCTGCCCTATAATCTAAGTAAGCACGAGTAGAGAGAGAGAATACGGAAAATGCTGTAAAATAGACTGCTACTTCAACTACGAGTTTCGCACAAGAAATCAGCAACATCAACCAAGCAACCAACGTTCCGCCACCCATTCAGTCAACCAGAGTCCAAAACACGGAGACAAATACGAATTCCACCAAGGACATTCCGGTCAAGCAAATGTCTTGCTAGAACGGTGAACACTCTGAATTACGAGTATTTCTAAGGAAGGACTCTAGGGATTTGGCTGTTGCATTTCGTGGACACAGAAATGCTCAAATTTCTAACTGAAGAATTTCACAAACTGAAGACACAGTCACTGAACGAAGACGACCAGCAATTTGAAAACAAGGTAAGTCGACCTTTTCTCTCTCTCTCAGCATATAATAATTCCCAATTGTGATTGAGAGCTCAGGGAATACATACAGGATTGAAAGTGTGTGAGGAAAGCATTGTGAATTTTGCATGAACGAAACGGTTCGAGTCTCTCCCAAAGCTTTATTCTTGTGTGTAGCTCTAGCTGTTCAACTAGGACAATCGATATTCGCATCTGTCTTGTGCAAGAGAAAATAAAGGACGTGTATGTAGGCAGCTACACATACATCTACATATACATAAATGTATCCACGGATGTATGTAGCTCTGCATTTATTGTACGTACACATACATGGCACCAAGACTCAAAGTCGACAGGAATGATTTTAATTGAAATTGCACTCGGTACATGGAAAGGGAAGACTAGTTTCACTAATTTAAGCGAAAATCGGTCATAGCACTCAGCCTTTGCTAATCTACAATTGAAAATAGGTCCCAAATATACATACGAGGTCTAAATCAAATCAAATTGTCATTTAAAATTTATAAATGGTTTAAAATTCAATGAATTTGCCAATTTTTTTTGCATTAACGTCTTGAAAGGTCTGGCTAATTTTGGCATATGAGAAAAACGACTTGCTTCTCTCGTGTATTTATTATGTTTATAACTTATTGACTTATCTCCCTCTTTCTTGACGAGGAAGACAAGCACGAATCCATCAGCTAACTATAATAAATAAATAATGCTTTTTTGCGTCATTGATTGTTCCTGGCAGAACAGCACCATTGTGAAATTGGACTTATTTACGTGAATTTTACAGCAAAAAACGCGTCATATGTTTACATACATGCATACACGTATGCACGGTAAAGTACTGTAGTTGATTAAAACGAGCAACTATTCTTACATGCTATTTAGGACTTACTTTGTGCAGATTTTTACACATTTAAGTGGAACCATTCACTTATTTACTTTGGTATTTGCCATAATAATCCTATGCGAAATATGGAAAAGCAAACGTTAAACTTGGATTTAGTGTTATCTAGTATATACGATTTCCATTTTGTGCATACATTATTTTATGTACATGTATCAAGTTTTAGCAACCAGATTATTTAGCAGAGCGAGTAACGAACCGTTCATTATGGTGTTTCGAAACTTTCAAAGGCAACGTTTCATATTGGGCTCTATGTACGTACTTCACTTGTGTGCCTATACAGATACTTGTGGACAATTGAAAAGATGCTTCTTTAATCAAGTTAGTAGACAATGTACATCAATCTTTGGCAAAGTCTATTATTACGCTTTTGAAAGCACTTCCTTTCGTTACGATTTAAATGATTTACTTGGAATTTTAAAATCAAACAAGGGTTGTCACGTATACGTATGTAGATATATTTCTAGCCGTCCAACTCATGTATGTATACGAATAAAGGATCAACTGTCAACTTAACGTCAACGACTTGTGGATGAGAGAGAGAGAGAGAGGGTGGATACGTCATTCATTAAACACACTATGACGTTCATGCTAATTTACTTGAGCTGATTGTACAATTATTATCTTTGTGCCATAAGAAGAAGTTGGGATTTATTCTTTTCCGCGGTGTCAGTAGTGCATAATCATTGCACAGCAAGGAGGGTGCACCACGAGGTGTGTGCAAAGACTGCGCATTCTCTAATTGGTTTTTGTCGAATAAATAATGAAGCGTTTCAGTTTTTCACAATTTATCATGTTACATTTATTAACATAAGTAATCAAGTAGAAGTAGGCACTTGATTCCAACTTGAGTGATTAAATTTTGAAAAGTTGGTGTATTTCCATATTTCTTGAAGAATTTTTAATGTCTAATAGTACCAAATAAATGCTAGTTAGTACGGGTAATTATCAAAGTGTTATTAGTGTAATAATACGTTTAGCAACCAATTATTATTGGAATTAATGCGAATTATGACTTTTATATAGCACTTTAGACTATGAAATTTGACAAATATCTAATCGTGAATATGTTTTTTTATTTTGCACGTACATATTCTGCATTTTACAAAGGTTGATTGATTGATTCCGACAAGATGGCATTCCATTAAAGCTGGTACTTAAATTTTTATCCTAGGAAAGGAAATTTGTTTATAAGGCTTGCCACAAGCCACAATTTATTCAATTGACAAGAGGGCCAAAAAAATGAATGAACTTTCCTAGAATTCTGACTCTTCGAAATGTACATACTCATTATTCAAATGGTAAAAGCAATTTCCTTACTTGCAGAGAGAGCACAGAAGACAATGTAAAATTTACTATATCGACCAAGAGAATAATCCCAACTCTTAATATGGTATGGTGGCATATGGTGCTGTAGCATCTTTAACTCTATTTAATACTACTTACTAATTATTCCTTAAAGTATTTAACGCTATTGTTAAGTGTAATAATGCGCCGATTAAACCGAGCTGGCTGTAATAACTTTTCAAAGCTGAAAAATCTCCAGACAACGTTGGGCAATATTTTTATCTGACGAAATGACGCAAGAACCACAATCCAAATATTTCGGTCGAACTGCAGTCGTCATTTTTATTGTACTTTCATTACCCACCTCTGTTCTGTTATATCATCCATCCATGAACACGCAGCTAGCGTTTGGTTACCATTAGTTACCCATCGCAATCACAGCTCACCAACAGAGCGGATTCCATTCAATTCAAGCAGCAGCCCTAGCAATTGAGGAGAGAGAGAAATGCGCTGGGCTGGCTGGTTGGCTGCTGCTGCTGTAAAGATCAACTTACTTACCTTCCCTCAAGTTCCCTCGCTCAATCTCGTTAGATTCTTCCAAACAAATCTCCAGCCCAACTTTTTGTCCCCTGGAGATCTCATGGACTACGTGGATGCTTCAAATTTTGATGGAAAAATACTTTACCGATTTTTATTTTTGACAAGTGGAACCATGTTATGTTGTTGGGCGACGTAATCTTGAGAAGAAGACGATGGAGTAAGCCAGTCAAATCCGGGTTTGTGAACCACATCATTACGAACAGTAATACAGACAGATATGATTCGTACTGACTGACTGAGAATCGAAAGTTGCAGAGTACAACAGAAAAAAATTGTTGATTTGCTTTATTAACAAGAGTTTCTGACTTAATAATTTTAGTGCTAAAGTGCTATGTACTTTGAAGAAATTAACTCATCATCACCACCACCACCACAACAACAGCCATCTCATAATGTTTTTGAGAACGTGTTGCATCACACTTTATGTTTACATCTTAAACTATTTCTTTACACACTCATCATTTAATTTTATTATCTCTATTAAATACAAGCACAAATTACATAAGCTAAATTTTGTATTAGTGGAAAGGATTCTTGTATACGATTGAGTTATCTTGTTGTATTAAATGGTTATACGTATGTACATATATAATCATTATTAGAACAACTAGATGGTTGACCAGCGTAATACATGCACAGCTAAATTGTAAGCACACTGAAATCCACTTGCTTTACTTACATCTTCACCAAAGCTGGGGAAGGGTGATGACTGATATTTGAAAACGCTCAAAAATATGTACATATAAACCTCAAAGACTATGTACATACATAGTAAGAAACGAGTCAAAAGGGTTCAATTGTGGTAAACCCATGCTCAGTTAGTGTTGTAATCTTTCATCTGTAAAATTTAGCAATGATGTTGATGTGCATATAGCAGGAGCAGCAGCGAGTCTTCTTTTGAGTGAAGAAACTCAGTCAATTTACATCAAACATCAAATCACAATCTTAATCGCAATGAATTTTATTTCGTCTGGTTGCATTGCAACATGTAGCACAAGGGACAGAGAGGAGTTCATCCAGCATGAGTAAGCTGACACATGATATCTTTGTGTCAACTTGTTGTACGGATGGCACACCAATAATAAATACATGCACTGCATCACGCCATCATAAAATCGTGAAATCCAATATGCTTCGAGTTTACAGTACGCTAGCTGCAATCATTGTTAATCATATATACTTGTTGATTATCGGATTTTGCAAAATCAGTTTGCACGCGTATGTACATGCATATGCAAGGTAATGAAAAATAGTGATCCTATGTGGCTAGAAAAACTAATGCCTCTCTCTGTATAGGTGCACATACATATATAAAACAACTTTAGGAGAAAGGTTAAAACTCTTCGGACGTCGGACTAAAAGTGTGTTCCCCGTCAGAATATTTCAACGAGTTGATGGATTATTGGATTAATTTGATATTTGAGATCTTGACAACTCACCGAACAAGTATTGCATTGTGCAAATGCCGAAAATATTATACTTTGTGACAGACTTTGTGCAACTCGTGAAGCGAAAAATTTTACATTTATTTTACATACTAGAGTTGATTCATTACTTATGCAAATACATTTATCTATTAGACGGGAGGACCCCGGAAGGACTCGGGATACGTATGTTGAACAAGCATAAGGTGGATATATTTATGTACATATAGCAGATGGGATATAGTCGTAGCATTAGAAATAGTCCCACAGGTTATGTTTGTTATAATAATAATAATGATTGGATCTAGCAAGTAATATTTTTTTTGTTTGATATGTAATGAGAATTCCTGGCTCCCTTCTGCACACGACGAGCGAAACCGCCCATGCATATTATTTCAATTGATTCTCCGACTCGTACATATATGTAAAATCATAGTCTAATCATAAAATGTAGCTTACTTCTCCTTAGCTTAGTACCAAGAGTGACAGGTGAGTTTGAGTTTACACAATGACTGACAAAAATTGGCAATTTGATAGCATCTATTCAAATTTGCATGTACTCAGCGAGGGCCATAATGTGATGTATTGACAATATGCTACGATCATTATCTGCAAATGACAGCAATTTCAGCTCTTTCTCCGAGAAACAATTTGGGCCGAATTTAAGCAATTGTCAATCTGTTATCGGTGCATTTGTGCAATTGGAGTTGGAGGTGTGTGCTGATATTGATGACAAGTAATTCAAACATGCCTTGATGTTGGAAATATTATCTCGCATTGATTAGATA